GTGGGCTTCCTCCAGGGAATAGGAAGGAACAAGGACAGTCAGCAACTGTCTGGAGAGCATTGCCTTGCTGGTTTAAATGCTCCAGCAAGTGTTTGCAGTGGGACCAACAGCAGGTAGAGACACGGGTGGAGTGTGCTGGGGGCAGGAGGAACTGCCTGGGAAGGTAAAAAGGAATGGAAGAAAGAGAGGGACCATCCCAGAGAAGAGCAGTGTGATCTTGATAACTTCAATGCCTGTCAGCCAAGCATTCAGGATTTATTTCTACCCAAATTATCCTAAGAGAGGCAATGGCCTCATTCAGTGCGGTGGAGAAATGGGCTCTAGCTCCTAGATGAGAATGGCGGCCAGCCTCTGCGGATGGACAGGAGAGCTGCCAGAGAGAGCCAGGGCCATCCTGGTGGCGGTCGCAAGTCTCACCCCAACCCGCTCCAAACCCACCCCGGAGGCAGGTGCTACCAACGCCATGTAAAGCACCTGCTGAGGTCTGGGAGAGGCCACGCCCATAATCACAGCAGGGCGTTTGTTGTGCTTTTGAGAGTCAGCCCATTACTCCTGCTGAGACGCCAGCATCTATGTGTGCCAAGAACGCTGTGACTAAGGGCTATTAACAGGGTGGCCCTAGTTCACTGGAGAAATTGCCTGACTTTCAAGAAGTTCCCCATCTCGTTCCTTTCTGAAGGGTAAGTGTAATGTAGACCTAGGTCATCGTTTGTATTAGAAGACACGTTGGCCGCTTCACTGAGTCAGGCTTTCACTGAAACATAATTGCTACTCACCTCCCCAAACAGAAACTATATTGCACTACACTATTCCATATTATACTCTGTGGTGCTGTGCCATGCTATACTGTGTAATATCATACTGGACTACACTATATTATGCTGTACTATACTACACTATGTTATACTATACTATACAATATGACATTATACTGTGTGTACTACACTGTCCTCTGCTGCACTACACTATGCTATACAACACTATACTATACGATGCCACACTGTACTAAACTACACCACGCCATACTGTATTATACTCTACCACACTATATTAGGCTACAACACACTACACTATGCTACACTATGCCATATTATACTATACCATACTATATTACACTACACTACAATATGGTTCACTATGCTATACTATACCACACTATATTATACTACACTATATTATGCTACACTATACTACACTATGCTTCACTATACTGTATCATACTATGCTACCCATACTATACTATGCTATAAAACAATACACTATGCTATGCTACACTATACTATATTATACTATACTGCACTATATTATGCTACACTATACTACCCTATTTACACTATACACTATCCTACCCTATATACACTATGCAATACAGTGCTATTTTATACTGCACTGTACTATATTATGCTACACTATGCTATGCTATATTATATTATACTATACCACACTGTATTATGCTACACTATACTATACAATGTTATATTTTACCATACTGTACTATGTTATGCTACACTACACTATGTTATGCTATATTATACTATACCACACTATATTATATTACACTACACCACACTATGCTACACAATGCTGTATTATACTCTACTGTACCATAATATATTACACTACACCACACTATGCTACCCTATGCTACATTATACTGTACCATGCTGTATTACACTATACCCCACTATCCTACACTATGCTATATTATACTATATGAGCCTATATGCTACACAACAATACACTATGCTACACTATACTACACTATACTTTTTATACTGTGCTGTACTATGCTACACAATGCTAAACTATACTATACAATGCTGTCTTATACTATACTGTACTATATTATGCTATACTGTGCTACGCTATACTATATTACATTATACCACACTATATTATGCTACATGATACTACACTATGCTATGCTATACTTTACCACATTATATTATTCTACACTATACTACACTGTGCTGCACTATGCTGTATTATACTATCTTATACCATACTGTAGTATATTATTCTACACTGTAACACACTATGCTGTATTATACTATCTTATACTATACTGTAGTATATTATTCTACACTATACTGCACTATGCTTTATTATACTATCTTATACCATACTGTAGTATATTATTCTACACTATACTGCACTATGCTGTGCTACACTATATTATACTGTGCCTCACTATATTATGCTGCACTATACTACACTGTGCTGCACTATGCTGTATTATACTATCTTATACCATACTGTAGTATATTATTCTACACTATACTGCACTATGCTGTATTATACTATCTTATACCATACTGTAGTATATTATTCTACACTATACTGCACTATGCTGCATTATACTATCTTATACCATACTGTAGTATATTATTCTACACTATACTGCACTTTGCTGTGCTACACTATATTATACTGTGCCCCACTATATTATGCTGCACTATACTACACTGTGCTGCACTATGCTGTATTATACTATCTTATACCATACTGTAGTGTATTATTCTACACTATACTGTGCTATGCTGTATTATACTATCTTATACCATACTGTAGTATATTATTCTACACTATACTGCACTATGCTGTGCTACACTATATTATACTGTGCCTCACTATATTATGCTGCACTATACTACACTATGCTATATTATACTATACCACAGTATGTTATGCTACACTATACCATACAATGCTTATACTATACTGTACTATATTATGCTACACTATGCTACGCTATGCTACATTATACTATACCACAGTATATTACCTTAAACGATACTACACTATTCTACACTATACTATACAATGCTATCTTATACTATACTGTACTGTATTATGGCATACTACGCTATGCTATGCTATGCTATATTCGACTATACCACACTATAGTACGCTTCACTGCACTACACTCTAGCACACTACATGACACTACACTACACTCTACAACACTGTACTACACTGCACTGCATTACTCTATGCTGCTCTACGGTGACTGCATTACCCCACACCACACCACACTACACTCTTCTTTCACAGCCTATCTTCAGTACAGAAGAAGGAACAAGGTCTGGAGTCAGGAATGGACATGTACATGATTTAAGGCCGGCCTCACCTCCCTCTGTGCCTGCCTTTTATCTATCACAGAGGGACTCTAACATGTCCCTGGTCTATGGGCCAGAGCTGTTATCGTGACCAGATGCAGTCTGAGAAGCCACTTCGAGACGCTGAGGCTCTGTCCGTAGAGCCCTGTGATCCTTTGAACTGTGTACGTCGGAATCCACTGAACATCATGTACCTATTGGGTGACTGAATAACTGACCCCCTCTCTCTTCCTTCCTCTTTTTCTTCAATACTGTTTGACCAATCTGGAAAGGTTTGATCCCCATTTTTTAAAATCCCAGGTGGCCACAGCAGCTGCCCCGGCCCTGTGCCTGTCTAGACCTGCTGTGGAGTTGGCTGCACTGCCCTTGCATGTTGCCGCTGACGTTTCCGTGGAGCCTCCGGCCTGCACAAGCACGTAGGGTGTGACAGCCTCCTGAGGCTGCCATCGCGAAGGACTGCAAACATGCGGGTTAAAACAACAGAAATGTCCTCCTTCACAATCCCAGTGTCCTGAGGCCTGAAATCAAGGTGTCGGCAGGGCCCTGTTCCCTTGGAGGCTCTGGATGGAATGTCCCTCACCCCTCTCAGCTTCTGTGACAGCCGTTGGTCCTGGGAGTCACCAGGCTTGCAGCTGCATAGCTCCCATTTCTGTCTATAATGCTATGCTATACTATATTATAGCATATTGACCTATGCTATACTATGCTATGCTCTATTGCACTGTGCTATACAACACTACACCGTACGATACTATGCTATACTACATTACACCACGCCATCCTATGTTATACCCTACCATGCTATATTATGCTACCTATGCTGTGTCGTATCCTACTGTACTTGGTGTAGCACTTGATAGAGTGCAGTGTAGTGTAACAGCATACTGTAGCATTGCCATTGCGTGGCCTTCTCTCTGTGTGTCCATGTGCTTTTCCCTCCTTAGAAAACACAGCTATTGGGTTAACGGCCCATGAAAAGACCTCATATTAACGTGAGCGTATCTGGAAAGACCCTATGTCCAAACAGTCACATTCATAGGTACTGGCATCGGGATGTCAGCACAGTTTTAGGGGGACACGATTCAACCCACAACACCGAGAAATTATCCCAGAAGCACCTCTGTCCTCCCCTGTCCCTAGAAACACTGTCACCCCGGCACAATATGTGCCCCTGGGGAGGGAAGGCAGGCACCCCATGGCTTTCTCCAGGTAGGAAGGAAGCAGTGGGTGACAGTGGTGTGCCCGCTTTGGGGGAGGCCACCCATCTCAGTGGGTCTTCCTTTCCTCACCTGTACCTGTTCACCCCCAACGTGAACCAGCAGAGGTGGTTAAGAAGCAAAGGAACTAATTACAGAAAAAGGAGTCACAAGTTTCAAGACCTAGTTAACACGGGAGGAATTGGGTGGAGGGACCAGCTCGGAGGCCATTCACCTACAAGCTCATGGAAGCTTCGGTCAGTGATGACAGTGCTGTCAGGGACCAGGTGGGAGATAGCCCATCGTGCAGAGCAGGGAGGGCACTGCGTCCTGCTACCACCTGCCCCACAGCCTCCCAGGACCACCTCCAGGGTGGGTTTCCAGCAGGTTGGATGCCCTTGATGGAAGGACACCAGATGCTGCCATGTTGGGTTTCACTGTGCGCAACAGACCCACAGACCAACTTCCTACCAGGAAAGAGCAAGGGAAGAGGGTGGGGAGTTGGGTTTCCTGCATCTGTCTGCAGTGGGGAGCACCTGCACCTTTCCTGCACGGGGTCATGTGTTGTGCTGTTGCGTTTCCAACAGGTGCAGCCAGCTGCATGAGCAAACCTTGTAGTGGACGAAGCAAAGGAAATGGTTTTGCCATCTTGGTGACTGCCGTTCTCTGTGTACACGTCTGGAAATGTGCTAGTCACACCATTTATTTAACTCCGAGAACTTTAACAAACTCTGTTGTCAAGTTAAAGTAACTGTTCATTTTCTAAGAGACTCACTCAGGGCTGGACAGAGACGCCTGAGGGGAAGGTCAGCTAGAACCCTGAGTCCTTGCAGGACATACTGTTACTGAGATGGAGACCCTTTCCCCAGCCCACAGCCAGTAAGAAACCAAACACGACTAGAAGACTATGGATGTCACTGTGTTTGAGGTGGAGGGAGGAGCATCCAGCTAATGGTCCACGAGGAAGCAGCATCTCTCCAAAACCAGGGGCACAACAGCAGGTCCGACAGGATCTCCACAACCTTGGCCACAGTAGGTGGTGGTCAGGGGCCTCTGCAGCGTGCTTAGCAACTTCATGGTGGTAGGAAGACTGGACCCTCAATCACTTTGCTTCTGGACATCCTGGTGGCTAATGAGCTCGGTAGCAGTTCCTCCACTGGTAAGCACCAGCAGCAGGGCACTGTTGAGAGGGCGATGGTCCTTCCATGCCGGCTTCATGCTCCCCTGTGGACTCCCTACACCTTCATCCACTGACAGCCTCAGAATGGTCATACGTGTGCATGCTAGACAAGCAAAAGCTACTTCACCGTGGGTAAGACGGTGGACGCTGACGTCGATTCCAGGTTCAAATCCCTGCCCACTGTGTCCCTGCTGTGACGGGAAAGTTGGTCTCCCCATCTTTGCCATGAGAGCACTGTCATGCTGACCCCACTGTGCCGACGTGGTAAGTGCTGGGATAATACCGAGTGGAGGGCATGGCCGAGCATCTGGTGCCTGGAAGAGCCAGAAGGACAGTGGACATTAGCGTCGTCACTATCATTGTCCTGCCCCCACCCCACCATCCATTTGCCCTTCTGACAGGTGCCCGCTCCTCTCCTGATAGGTGCAGCCACTAAGCAGCCCTGTCAGGAGGTAGAGGGCAGGAGGAAGGAGTGCCAAGGGCATTCTCCTCCCAGGCTACCCCCGACTCAGGGCACAGCCAGTCCCAACATGGGGCACCTCCTCTGGCTGAGCTCCCGTGGGACAGCCTCACAGTCCTGCTCCCACCAGGCACATCTCTGCACCCCACTCTAGCACTTGCTGGTCTCTATGTGATCACCCCACCCCCTTCGAGTTCTTAGCTCTTCCACACGCACGTGAGAAAATGCTCCGGATTAATCTCTTCCTGCTGCGAGCACTCAGAATGGCTTTCTGATTGGACCCAAATCAGTACTGGGCGTAGTCTTCTCTCTAGAAAACAAAGGTCCTGCAGCCTTGAAGGTCTCCATCCTCCCCTGAGAGTGAGGTGAGGCTCAGTGATAGAAGGTGCCCTAGGAGGGGTGGCCGTGGTGGGTCTGCAGCGTCTGCCAAAGTACAGGGTCGGCAATCAGCCCTCGGAGCCCTCGGAGTCCTCAGGGCCCTTGGCCACCAGGAGGCCCTGACCAGGCAGATAGAGTCTTTGTTACAGAGCTGGGCCCAAGGGGAGGGGCAGATGTGTGCCGGGGACTGAGGGCTGCGGAACCACCCTGGAAGCAAATATTTGTTTCTGCAACAATCTCCATTCCCCAGAGTGCAGATAAGATTAGTGTGGCACTGAAGATAAAGAAAAATCGAATTTCACCTGTTGCCCTTGGCCCCACCTAGGCTCAGCACCTACCCATCTCAGCTGCAGGGGCAACCCTTGTGCAGGTGAGCCCAATCGCCTCCCCCACTGCCCCAACAGAGCTGCTCGTGCAGCCATCAGCAACACAGCTCCCACCTCTGAGAACAGCCGCCTGCTAGGACCTCGGAAAAGCCAGAGGAAAAATGTAGGCAGACAGGAGCCGAGGCAGCCGGGCAGCTGGGCAGACCTGGGCAGGGTGGGCAGCGATGCTGCAGTGGCACAGGAGGGCCTCTTGTGTGTCCCCCCAACCATCCACCGTGCTCTGCTGGTTGCCCCTGTGGACAGGACAGGACCTACTTGGGCCCCACTCATGCACAGCAGGCTCTTCCTTGGAGCCATCCTCCCCTGGCTCTCGGGGGCTCCTCCCAGCCTTCCTGGGAGCTCCTTCCAGCTCCTTGGTGGCTTCTCTGTCACGCTGGCAAGCACCGCATCCCCCAGCCCTGGCAGGGCTCCCTTTTCTTCTCTCTCCTTGACACCTGCCTACCACCCACTGCCATGGCTTCAGTCTCCACTCATTGCCTTCTTCTCCCAAACTTATGTCCTTTACTTTTCTTTTCTTTTTTCTTTCTTTCTTTTTTTTTTTTTTTTTTTTTTTTTTTGACAGAGTTTTGCTCTTGTCACCAAGGCTGGAGAACAGTGGCGTGATCTCGGCTCACTGCAACCTCCAACTCCCGGGTTCAAGCGATTCTCCTGCCTCAGTTGCCCGTGTAGCTGGGATTACAGGTGCCCACCACCACCCCCAGCTAATTTTTGTATTTTTGGTAGAGAAGGGATTTCACCATGTTGGCCAGACTGGTCTCAAACTCCTGACCTCAGGTGATCCACCCGTCTTGGCCTCCCAAAGTGCTGAGATTATAGGCATGAGCCACCGCACCCAGCCTAAACTTATTTTCAACCCAGATCTTTCCCCCGGGCCCCACCGTGTATCCCCAGGTACCTTCCTATTGAATATCTCCAACCAGTTACCCCTTAGACTCGTCCAACTTAATCTACCCGAGATGGAGCTCACCTGCTCCATGTACCCTCACCTGACATGGCTGTCTCTCCCCTGCCTTCCACTGGTGACACCTGCCCATCCCAAGCCGCTCATGCGGGACAGGGTGTCCTCTCACCGCTTTCTCTCACATGGCCTCACATCCAAGCCCTGTCCCACTCCCACCAGCCCACGTCTGCAGCAAACCTACTTCTCTGCAACATGGTGTTCCAGCCCCAGCCATATCCTGGCTTCCTGCTGGGCCACACCAGCTGCCTCCCCACTGTCTCGCCATTGCCGGACTCCCCCTGCACCCATGTTATAATTAATACACGAGCTGGGTGTTCTTTCAAAAACCCAAACCAGGTGAGTTTACTGGATGAGCCCTACCTGGTCTGTCGCAGACGTGGTCCAGAGCCCCCTCCCCAATGTGTTTCTCTCCTCCTGGGCCCCTTACTCACTAAGCCCCCCCACATGGCCCAGGGCAGGCACCATTAGCGGAGCTGAAGGCTCAGCCTGTGGGCTTGGGGGCTGACTCAGAAAAGGCAACGTGAGCACACCCACATCTTCGCCTATTTCAGAAGAGGAATGCAGGGCTCTGCAGCCTAAAGCCATCAGACCCAAGGGGACATCCGTGGGGATTCTCATCCTTGAAGACGCAGAAGCCCCCACCCCACCACTTGAGGCAGCGAAGAGGAAACGCAGCTGCCAGGCACCTGCAGGCCTCCGCTGGCCCCTCACTCCCCTCTCCATCCAGTAGTCTTGAGTTCTAAGGACCGTCACAGGCCATAGCCCCAAGCACTCAAGAGAATGGAGGTGTGGGGGTCCCAGACAAAGAAACCACCTGGTGTCACCGAGAGAAGCGGAGGAGATGATCAGGGGCCTGGAGTCCCAGACGAACAGACAACCATGAGGATGTGCGGTCTGAATGCTCTCCTCATGATCAAACACACTAAACTGTCACCGGAAGACTCCCTTCCTAGGCCTGGCTGTGTCACCAACCAGCCAGGTCACTAGACAGGTCTCCCTGCCCCTCTGGACACAGCTGCCTCTCCTGGCAGAGCCGTGGGTCGAGTTGGAAGCTCACGCGGCCCCTTTTGGCTCTGACACTCCACTGTCTATGAGTCACTGCGGCTTCCGGTGGTTTGTCACTGAGGCTCACAGGGAAACCAAAGAAAGAACAATCGCAGCCCAGGGTAGCGAGTTCACGGGCACCGGGTCCAGGACTTGCGTAAGGAGGCCCGGTGACCTTCAGCACCGTGGTGACTCAAGGTGGTACTTTTCCACTGCCAGCAGGCACAAGCCCTCTCACGCGTGGCACCGGCACCTGCATTAAAACGATGTTTTGATGATGTTGCAGGACTTAGATCCACCTTCAAACATGAAAACAAATAAGAGTCCTGGCCTGGTGTTGTTGGAACAATTCCCTGGATTCCGTGTCGAGTCGAGTCCTGCATGGAGGGACAGTCAGGGCAAGCTGGTTACCTGGCCTTGAGTCACCACCAGCCTTCTCCCAGAGCCTCTGACTCATGGGCATGTTATTTGGGGAAAGAGTCACAAAACCATCACCAGCTCCTTCCTCTCGCTCCTCCCAGCTCCACACTTGGCCATCACAGAGTGTTTTTGTTTCACTGCAGTAATCCAGATGAACCCTAATTGTGTTTGTATATCCCAAATGGGAGGTGTCAAACAATCAGAATTCTCTGCATTTGATTTGTAGGACTAAATGGCAGTTCCTTACAGAATGGGCTTAGGTTCCAGATTCATCTGAAAACAAAACATTTCTAGCTCTGACCTCTGCGGAACAATAAATTCATGTTTTCAGTGTTCCCCTAAGGCCTGGCCAGATCCTCAGGAATCCTCAATGAATCCATCCTCCACATCATTTCTACTCCCAAAGTCAGGACAGACGGGTTCACCAGCAAACATCCTCTACCGAATCCTGGTTGACCAGCACCTTTTCCTCCCAGTGTTTGTAGGTAGAATTTTCCTAAGCCACATGCACCCTGCCGGCCATGGGCCGTGCTCTGATGGGAAGGGCAGTCTCGTGGGAGTGACACACGGGGCCTCTGCCATCAGACACCCCTGTTCCAATCCAGGTGCCCCTACTCTGCCTGAGCTCAGCAAAATGGGACACTCACAAATCCTACTTTAGAGGGTTTTCTCCTGAGTACTCAGTGAGTATTCATGTAGAGAAATTAGCCCAGTTCCTTCCCCACAAGGACCTCAACAATCCTGTCCATGATTGTCATCCAGGATGAACTGCTGCTTACCTATAACCAGAAGAGTTAGAACTCGTTCTGAACCTCCTGAGGCCAAACTGCCACAAAATTCCAAACAAATAAAATGTGAATGAATATTTGAAGACAGGGTCTTGGAAGCCTGACTCTTTAAGAGCTTGCTTTTAAGTGAAATATGTACACACACACACACACACACACACACACACACAAAGCGGAGAGAGGGGGCAAAGCAAAGATGTCCTTGAAACTTAAATCATGCGGCTTTTCTGTCCAAGAGTCCAAGAAAAACACAGGTCTTCCCTTGACATTTGGAGGCAGTTCCTTGTCTCTATTCTCCTACCCTCTTCGCTGCCATTTCTTTGAGAACAGGCTGAAGAAAGGGGTTGTAATGCAGCTATCAATCCAGGTTGCATTAGTAATATTTGGGGTAGGGGGAACTCGAGAGAAAGAATCCTGCAGAACCATGAGCCCAGATGAATCAAAATGTCTAACTATTTGGCTACCAAACTAAATAGAAATTAACTGTTCACACTCCCAGATCTTCCACTTTGAGAAGCTTTTTGTTGCTTCTATTTTGGAGCCCACCACATTACGTACAAATGGCACACAAGGGGGTCCCACTCATCGAATACCGTGACCCCCTGTGTTCGCTGAAGGTCAGCTTCACATAACTCCGAAATAGCAACACCGAAAATCTGAAATTACGGCATCTGAGTCATTTTATATCAAAAGTTACACTTCTTCTTGGAATTGAAGGGGAAAACATCAATAGATTCAACATAAAAGCCTAACATTTGGTACATCAACCAAACATAACATTTTTAAAAATTAAATAGGAATCTGAGAAGTACTTGTAATACATGTCATAAAGGAAGGTGATATGCCAAACTACAAAAGTTACAGAAAAAACCCACTA